GGCCCTCTGCCTGGGCTGGACCGTGGCTAGAGTGCTGGGAATACAAGCACTTCCAAGCCCTTTCAAACAGTTGGCCAAATTTTGGTTGTAGGGCTCAGGTCCCCTTTGCCCGCGGTCTCACAGCCAATACTGGTCTTTCCCCCTACAAGCTGTTTGCATTTCTTCTAGCACTTTCCATGTGGTCACTGCCAGCAAGGGCCAGCCGAGTCCCTCACAGGCTCGCAAGCCCTCTGACTTGCCCTTCTCTGTCTCTCTGACTCCCGCTGGAGAAAGCTCTCTGCCTTTTTAAAGTACTCATGTGATTCGATGGGGCCCACACAGATAATCCTGGATAATCTTCCTATGGGCATCCTGTAACATTAATTCCTTCTGCAAAGTCCTCTTGCCCTGTAACGTAACGCAGTCCTGATGTAGTCCTTCGTCTGTTCCTTCCTCCCCTTCGTCATTTGGGGAAAAATTCAGGGAAGAGTAAAGAAAAAAGATGGGATGAAGTTTAATTCCTCACGGAGCTCCAGCAGGACGGGCGCAGCAGGACGTGGAGTCAAGGATGTTTATAGCAGCTTTAGTCGTAATTTCCAAAACTTGGAAACGACCAAGGTGTCTTTCAGTAGGTGAATGGTCAAATACACTGTGGTCCGTCTAGACTATGGAGTATTATTAATGATAAAAAGAAGTTATTTATCCAGCCATGAAAACACAGGGAGAACCTTAAATGCATGCTATGAAATGAAAAATAAAAGCCAATTATAAAACATTCTGCAAAAGGTAAAATCATGTAGACGGTAAAAAGATGAGTGTCTGCGGGGTGAGTGGGGGAGAGGAACAGGCTAAACACAGGGATTGTTAGGGCAGAGAAACTACTCCGTATGACAGCATAACGACGGACACATGCATTGGACATTTGTCCAAGCCCGGCGCATGTGCAGCGTGAAGAGTGAACCCTCACGGACCGCAAGCATGAAGGACACCCCAGCGCAGGCTCGTCTCTGGTCACTTACGTACCATTCCAATGAGTGTGTTGACAGTGGGGGGTGCGGTGCGTGTGCTGGGACGGGGCATGTGGAAAATCTCTGTACCTTCCGTCCTGTTTTCTTTGTAAACCTGACAAACCTGCCCTAAAAAAATCAAGTCTTTCAAAAACAGAATCAGAGACACAATTCCAGGCACTGCATTCTGCCAGCAACACAGCCGTGCATCGAGTGAAGAAGGTGAAGGCCCCGTGGGACATACACATGGGGGCTTCCTCCAGCCACGCCCTCCAGCCCACGTGGCCCCCAAGCAGCCCACAAAAGGGGGACCAGGACTCCCTGCACTTGAACAAGTCTCTAAGCCCCATGCATTTTAGAATGGAACACGGTGCTCCCTGCCAACAGGGCACGTCTGTGATCGCTCTGAGTAGCTGCTGCCTCTGAACTCGAAAACAATCCACATGCAGTGTTCTGAACGGTAGGTAGGTAGTCGCTGAAATCTAAGTAAATCAAAGAAATTTTTTAAAATAAAGGTGTTCATGGAAGAACAATGAACAGGGCAGCTTCCTCTGGGATTTCCTTCAAACTATTAAGATATATAGTCCGCACTAGGCTTGGGGGAAATTTAGATATATGTTAGACTTAAAAACCAGTGTATTGAGACATAACTCACGTTAAATAAGATGGACCCACTTTCAGACTCGAGTTTGGTGGGTGGTCCAACAGCCGCATACACCCGCGGAACCCTTTCTCCAACAAGATACCGAACGTCCCCATCACCCCAGAAAGCCCCTCTGCTTTCTCCCGGTCAGTCCCCTCCCTGCCCCACAGCCATGCTCGCCCCTATCACTGGGGACCACTTAGCCTCTTCCAGACTTCAGGGTTCTCCAGAAAAACAGAGCCAACCGCATCTATGTGCCTATATTAAGACTCATTTTGAGGGACTGGCTCCCAGGACTGCGGGTGTCGGCAAGTGTGATGTCTGCATGGCGGGCCGCGAAAGCACGCGGCAGTTGGCCATGCGGCCTTGAGGCAGAATTGGATGAACGCCCCCACCCCTGCCGCTGTCAAGGGTACTCTCCGTTCATCAGACCCAACTGACTATAGGTGTTAATCGTATCTGCCAAGTACTTTCACGGCAACAGCTCTATTCACGTTCAATTAAATAACTAGGTGCTACGCCCCAGTCGCACAGACCCAAGACCGTCACTCTGACAATACACGTGGAATCATGCACCGTGTGTGGTTTTGCGCCCGACTCCTCTCATTCAGCATGAAGTCCCGGAGTCATGGACACAAACAGTCACCCCTGTCTGCACCGGCACCCGTTCCTTTTTATCACAGAATCGCATCTCTTGCACGAATACAGCAGGCTAGATTCTAACACACGCCAGGCATTTCACACTTCGGCCCTGAGATCCAAAAATAAGAAAATAAGAAAACTGCCAAACGCCAATTAGAACCCGGAGTGACTCACTGAGATATTTAAACCTCTTTAGGTCATAAAACAGAACAGCTAAGAGTCTCTTGCCGGCCAGCTGACGCATGGGGGGACACAAGGCAGGCAGCACAGTGCTCTCCGGAATACGGCGCCTCCGTGTGGCTTCTGCTGCTTTTTAATTTTAATTTAACGAAAGCTCATTAATAAAGAATACAGCCTAAACTTAAGCCAAACGTGGTGCTATTGCTTCAAAAGACATACCTGTAACGCACACCAGAGCACCCGTTTGTGGGGGAGCCTGATAGCTAGTCTTTCAACCGCTCGGGGGCAGACTGGCTAACTCTACACGTAGAAAGGGATATTACAGCCCCGTTTCTCTGCTCATCTTCACAGCAAAGTGTGGTTACCGTTTCCAAGCCCCTCCTCTCCCTTTCTCTGAAACCCTCTCACAACAGATTTGCACAGTGCACTGCACAGCAACCGCTCTTGTTAAGGTCAGCCATGGCATCCCAACTGTTACACCACACAGGCCATCCTCAGCATTCATCACGCAGCATTGGGGAACCGGCCACTCCTGTCCCCGTCTTCACCCAGCTAGGGACTCCGTGGGCTTCTGGCTCTCTGGAAGCCCACCTCATGGTCATTCCTCCTCGGCCTCCCTTGTAGTTCTGTAGTGGTCCCTTCCCCATCCACCTTCCCTTCTGGGGTGAGCTCGCCAGTCTCTCCTGGTTTGAAACGCCTGTAGATACTCTCATTCTCTGAATTTACGCCTCCAGGTGGCAACTCCTCCGTGTGTGCCAGACTTCTGTGTGCCTCTGCCTTTGCAGCAGCTCTGCAGTTCTCAGCCAGCCTGGGCTCCCGCTCAGCGGCCCCCTCTGCAGCCCCTCCCATCTCTGAGTCAAGAAACTCCTTTCCACCAGGTGCACAGCCCGACCGAGGGCAGCCATTCCTGAGCGCCTTCCTTCTCTCGCACTACATCTACCGCACCTGTAAATCCCAGGGCCTGTGCTTTTCAGGTGCTCATCTCTGAAATCTGACCTATTCTCACCCCCCACCGGCACATTCATGACCACCCAGCCCTCATCCTCTTGCCCAGATGACCCAACGACCTGGTCAGGAGGCTCCCTGATCTGACTCTTCGTGCGCCCACCCCCGTGTCTTCTCGGCAGAGCGGCCACACTGACCCCGTTAAAGTCCAGTCATCACCGCCGCCCTCTGCTCGCCACCCCGTGGCCTCCCGTCTCGTGTGGAGCCCATCCCCTCCCAGGCACAACCTTCTGCACGTGGCCCCACGGGTCACTCCCTCCTCTTCCCGAGGTCTTCTCCCACCACCTACTGCTACGCTCCCATCCCTCCTCCCCCGCTTCACTTTCCTCTCCAGCCCACCTGACTCACTACACACCTTGGTTCTTCTCTCTGTCGCCGTCGGTCCCCCGGAGACGTGGAAGCTCCACGAGCACAGGGCTGGTTCGCTCCGTGGACGTCCGCGTCCTGGAGACCGTGCGCAGCGCGGGGCCCGCAGCGGGAGCGGCCAGTTGGTACGTGCGGGGTGGGAAATGCTCCCGATGGGGAACGGTCGGCTTCCAGTGGTGTGATGCGGTCACTGCCACATTCACCGTGTCACGGGAAGAAGGTGCGGTTTCAGACAATCCGTCCACACGCCCAGAGCGAGACGCCCACGAAAGAAGGAACAATGAGTCCCGTCGTGCCGAGACGCCAAAAGTGCCCTAAGGCGGCGTCCCGGGGGCGCAAAGAACCGCGGCACTAACACCCTGGCGGACCGCGTGGGCTCTGAGCGGCGCTGCGGCCCAACGGGGACTCGGAACCGCGAGGGCTCTGCCCGAGCTGGAGGGGCACCCACCGTCCCGCCAGCAGGCGCACCGGGAGCACGCGCGCAGGTGCGGCGCGCGCAGGTGCGGCGCGCGCAGGTGCGGCGCGCGCAGGTGCGGCGCGCGCAGGTGCGGCCGGGGCCCGGGCCCGGGGTTCCGCCCGCCACCCTCCGAGTGCGCCCTCCATTGGCTGCTCCGCCCACGAGCCGCGTTCCCATTGGCCCCGGATTAGACTGGGGGCGGGCCCGGCTCGCGCTGGGGCGGGGGCTGCCTCCAGCCCTCCAGGACTCTGCGACAGAGGCGGGCGGTGAGCGGCAGCCTAGCGACGGGCCTCCAAGGACGCGCCCGCCCCGACCCCCTGTAACCCAGCCGCTCTGGACGCCCGGGTCCGGTTCGGAGTGGCGCCGGCACGGGCTGGGGGGCGTGGCGCAGCAGGAGGCGGCTTGCGCAGGCGCGGTCGGCACGCCCGCAGCCCCCGGCAGCCCCCGCGGCCGCGCCCCTCCCCGCCCCGCCCACGCAGGGGAGCCTCCCGGCGGCCCCGCCCCCGCCCGGGCCTGCGGAGGAGGCGGAGGGGGATGACGTCATCGAGCGGGGCGACGGGCATTGGGCGCCATTTTGAAAAGGGGAAAAAAATCCCTCCCCGGCAGCCGCGGCGGCGGCGGCGGCGGCGGCGGCCGGGCTGAGGTGCTCGGGCGGCAGTAGCGCGGCGGCCGCCTCCTTCGTGCGCCGCCGCCTCGGCGCCCGCCTGCCCGCCCGCCCGCCGGCCGGCCATGGCAGGTGAGCGCCCGCGCGGGGCGAGGCGGGCGCTGGGCTGCGGGCGGGGGGCGCGGGCGTGGGCGCGGGCGCGGCGGGCGCGGGGCCCTGACGCGCCCGGTGTGTGTCCGCAGGGGCCGGAGGCGGCGGCTGCCCCGCGGGCGGCAACGACTTGCAGTGGTGCTTCTCGCAGGTCAAGGGGGCCGTCGACGAGGACGTGGCGGAAGGTAAGGCCGCGCACCTGGGCGGGGGCGGCGCGCTCCCCTCCTCCCGGCCGCGGCCCCGGGAAGCCTGCAGCCCGGGCCGGCGCGGCGTCCGCTCGCGGGGAGGGCGCGGGGCCCGGCCGCCGGCCCGGGGGCGGCCCGAGGGTTATGTAAGGGAGCCAAGGTCACCGGGCCTGCGGCGGGCTCTGCTGGCGGCGCGTCCCGGCTCCTCCCCGCGCGGGTGGCCGCCGCCTGCGTTCGGCCGGGCTGCGGGCGGAGCGGCGGGCGGAGCGGCGGGCGGAGCGGCGGGAAGCGGGGCTCGGGGCTCGGGGCGGGCGGCGGGAGTGGCGGGCCGCCGGGCCGGGTGCGGCGCTCTCTGCGGCTCCGACGGCCGCCGCTCGGCTCGCGGGGCGGGCGCTGCCCTCGGGCCTCCGACGCGCGACGCCTTCCGAGCTCGCGGACCCCGCGCGCTGCTTCCCCGGACCGCAGCCCTGCGGGACCCGGGGCCGGCGTGTCGGCGGGAGCGGCCCGTGAGGCCCCGTCTGCCGTGCTCCCGCGCGCCGGGTCCCTGGAGCGCTCAGCGGCGTCCCCGCCGCCCCTGGCAGGGCGACCCCCGCAGATCCCCCGAGACGGAGCGCGCGCAGATCGGTAAACACGCAGCGGCGTCGGAGCGGCTGGTGCGAGCGGAGGTTTGGGCGCAAACACGGGGTTACCCCCGCGCTCGTGCGAGCTGCGCGTTCGCGCTGCGTCCGCTGTCCCCGGGAGAGCCCGTCCCGCCGGCGGTGCCCCCTCTCCGCGCACGCCTGGGCGCACGGACGCACGGACGGACCGACGAAGTGCCGCGTGCCGGGGCGGGCGTGGCGCTCCGAGCGCGGGGTCCGCGCCGACGTGACTGTTCGCCGAGTGGAGCCGATGGGAACTCTCTGCGCTTGTCCGTCCCGACCTCGCGGTTTTGCACGGACGTGCAAGTTTGCTGTTTCTGGAAGGTTTCTTTGTGGTCGTTACTCGGGCGTCTTCCGGCGGCTGCATGCGCGAGCGTTCTCTGTCATCCACCGGGGCTCCGGCCGCGGTGCTCAGGCGGGGCGCGCGCCCGGACGCCCCTCGTGTCCGTCGCCGGGTTGCGGCCGCGTCCGTGCAGTTGCGTCGTTGCCGGAGAAGTCGTGGGTAGAGGACACGGAACGGCAGCAGCCCGGGGTGGTGGGGACAAGCGGAGCGGAGAAGCCGGTACCGAGCTCGGCCGTGGTGGGGAAACGTTGGCGGGAGGTGGAAGGTGCGGTGATCTGAAGGAGCTTCTCGTGCGCTGGCGTGTGCTTCCGTGTCTTGGTGGAGGTTTGCGGCTCGCGATGCGTTTGCCCGGGTCTGAGCTCTCCGTGGAGGAGCGCCCCTGGACCCGCGCACAGTGGACGTCTTTCTGCCTCCCGAGACCATGGCTGAGGCGCAGGCGGGGGCCCCGTCCGCACTTGGCGAGGGCAGCACCTGGTGGCGCCAGGCAGTTCCGGACTCAGTGCTAAGGCCGTGCGTGCAGTGGGCTGAGGCTTGTGATTTCTTTGTTGTTTTTGAAACTGATAGTTTGGGGGACTCGAATCATAACCGTGCGGAGCCGTGGAAACGTGACGGCTTTTTCTTTTCCAAGAGCGGGGTTTTGCTTACGCAGGGGCCAGGTTAGCATAGCACCGTCAGGATTTCTCGTTGCTTGCAAGTAGGATTGGAGCTGGGCTTGGAGGGAACCTGGTTGTTTTCCTGCTGGTGACAAGGTGCGGGAGAGACCGTCCCTGCTCCTCCCCCGGCAGCTTGCTGCTAGCGGCTGTAGTCCCCACCCTCCGCAGCTGCGCAAGGTGAACTTCTCTGCCCAGGAAAGCAAGAATCGAGACTAAAAACCGGGCGAGGCTTCCAAAAGGAAGTGAAAAGGGAAGTGGTTTGTTAGCTTGTGCCTTCAAATCCTTATGCTCCAGGCAGTGAGCGCTGTGCGGAAGCTGTTGGGTGTCCGTGCAGATCTCCGTGTGTGCTGCTCAGTCACCACTGCCCAGTCCCTAAGCCCTACGCCCTTTCCTTGGGCGACTTGCACTGAACAGATGATGTTTACAGATGCCATATGATACTGTAGTCCTTTGCTAGTGTGTCTCATCCAGCTGGAAGGCTGAGTGCCCCCCCACACACACACACCTTGTAGAGGACCCAGTCTGCAGTGCTGCTACCAACAGACAGCGAGTGCTCACTGCTGCAGACGTGGCTCTGTTACCTGCATCTGTTAGTTCCCGGTCACACGGCCCTAGGAGGGAGGGACTGTTCTTCCCAGTTCTAGATGCAGAAGCCCAGGCACAGAGGGCCATTAACTTGGTCAGCAGCCGCTGTAAGGTCAGAGCCAAGGTTTGAAGCCAGCCTGGCTGGCTCCGGAGGCAGCACTGCTGCGGCCCTCGAGGTGGGATGTGGCTGCCAGCCTGGGGATGGCTCCTTTGAGAGTGCATGAGAGCGCTCACTGGCCAGAGTTGTAGGAAAGCAAATGAAAATGAGATGCCTTGAGAGCAGGTGTCTCTCCCAGGTTAGGAACAAGGGTTAAAGCATGGCCATCAAAGAGCAGATGTCACAAAGATGGTTTGACGGGGAGAGCCTGGAACCCCTGTGCACCCAGCCGACGAGGCAGTAATTCTGTGAGTTACTTAAAGCGTGATTGTACTCACTTCTTCCAGGAAAGCTTTGGGTCCTGCTGCCTCTGCCCATGGATTGTTTTTCCAGAAAAGCTGTGGGGAGGGCTGGAGGAGGGCTTTGTAACCACCTATGACCTGGTTTTATAGCTTTTTGTGTAGCCTGATGACCGCTGGTTCGTCATCAGTAATTTTACATGTCTTGACTTTTTACTTGATGGTTTTGTTTTAATCTGTTTCTTAATCCGTGATCTGGTCTACGGTCTTGAATTTGACATTAATCTTTTTCTAAAAGGATAATACTAAATGTTAATCTGTAACTCCAGCTTAAGTCTGGGGAGTTGTATAAATTCTATGGGTATCTCAGTGATATGGTCCAGCTTTTCTAAAAGGGTTTATGTAGATATATTATTAAAGGAAAACCTTGAAGTTGGAGAAAGAAACAAAAACTAAGGGCATTTGGGTATCAATATTAAGCAGATACTGTGTTTCATAAATTTGAGCTACATCTGATTTCAGAAATGTTAACATGTAAGAACCTGTGCTCCCTACAATCTGTGAAATCCAGTATTTGTGAATGCAAAAATCATATTATTTTTAGTGTTGTGGGTTTCTTTTCTTTTCTTTTTTTTTTTCCTGTATATAGCAAGTGAACACTCAGTAGTATTTATCATTGATTTTTTTTTTTTTTTTTAATTGTGATGGGACCTGTGTCTGGCTGTTTGAAGTATTCTAATCTGATACATTGTCTACATTCCATTGTAGGGTTCCCATTTACTTTGTATTTGTATCTGTGCCATCCTAAAAGTTCTCCAGGAAAGCATCTTGTGGGGGGAAGCCATGAAACAAGAAAACGATCTACTTACTAACATTCTTGCTGTTTAATTTAGAAGAGAGTTTCATGGGGAGATTGTCCTTGTGGTTTTCTTAAGGTTAAGGCATTTCACATACTTAGGAGCACAGCTACATTGTAATGCTTCTGAAATCAGGCTGCATGTTCAAGAACCTGGGCTAACTGTAGTTATATAATCAGATGTAAGTATGAGATTTACGGTAATATTAAACCGTACTCCTCATTTTTTTTTTTTATTCCTTGATTTTAAAGGTCTTGTTTTGGGATGCCTGGGTGGCTCAGTTGGTTAAGCGTCTGCCTTTGACTAAGGTCATGATCCCAGGGTCCAGGATTGAGCCCCACATGGGGCTCCCTGCTCAGTGGGGAGGCTACTTCTCCCTCTCTCTCTCTCTCTGCCTGCTGCTCTCCCTGCTTGTTCTCTCTCTAAAATAAATAAAACCTTAGGGGGGAAAAAAGTTTTGTTGGGAAATTCTGGGTTTAGTTCATGTCTCCCATTTATCAGGTGTGAAGGCCTGTTCTGAACCTCAGCTCAATTATCTAGAATAGATATCAAAAGATTTTTGTCAGGGAGCCTCTGGGTGGCTCAGCTGATTGGGCATCTGCTTTCAGCTCAGGTCATGGCCTCAGAGTCCAGGGATGGAGCCCTGGTTGAGTCCAGCTCCCTGCTCAGCATGGAGTCTGCTCCCTCTGCCTCCCATGCGAGTTCTCTCTCTCAAATAAAGACATAAAGTCTTTAATTTTTTTAAAAAAATTTATTTTTGTCAAGATTAAACAATCTGCAGTGCTTTTGTTTCCTGTAAAGTTTGAGTGCTAGGTATGACTGTTAATTAATTCTCATGTATTTTAGGGTGTTTGGGTTTGGTTGTAGCTATTCTTAGACCTAAAAATCACAGTTTCTTGATTTTTTTTTCCCCTGATTTCCCCCCAGTCTCTTCATTCTTCTTAGATCCCTTCAGTTAGGCCTAACCACTTGGCTCTTGTATTATTACTCAGGGTTCCTTTCTTGCTAGTACTTCTTTCCTCATACTCTGTGACCCTTGCTCTTGTTTCTTTCCCAGCCAAGAATTTTCTTCGTGTTTCCTGCCTACCTTCCACACCCTACCAGTCCTTCCACCGTCTGCTTTCTCTCCCCAGTTTTAGTGCATGGGTTAGTCTTGTCTCTTTAACTTGTTACTCAGGATATGGAAAGGCAAATCCCATTTCGATTGTCTTACTAGCTTTGTGTTAACTTGAGAGGTTACTTACCATGTGGTTTTTCATCTGTACAGCCGGGGTACTGTTCCCTATGGCGGTGACAGGTTGTTAGGAAGATTCCACACAAATGCAGGGAAAGCTCTGGTAAACAGGCACACGCGGTAACTGGTAACTGTGGGAATGTTGTCCTAAGAGACACTTTTGCACGGAAGAACTTACTCTGTGTTGCTTCCAGGAGCCAACTAAAGAAAAGGAAGGGTGTTACAGGGCGCTGCTTTCAGCTTAGCTCATCTGAAAGTTCACAACTATGTCCTCAAGGGCAGCTGGTGTGGGTG